TAGAAGGTGTGAAAACACACACAAACAACCAATCACGTCCAAGGTCACCAGGAGAGATGATTAATAAACTCGTGGAGAAATCTAAAAGCTCACTTCAAATTGAAGTATGCGCTGAAGATGTCACCCAGTAAGGTGATGAAAGCTTCGCAAACTAACCATCCAGCTCAGAGAACAAAACCACATCAAAATCATCCACCTGAGCTACAAATTTTCTCTACAATAACTGATTAACTTCAGTTTACTGCTGAAAATTTGAATCGTAATCTTGATGCTGAATGCAACAGATTTCCACATTGATTATAGATTACTGCCTTACCTTTCTAATCCTGCCCAGACGTGACGTTCCTCATCTCTGCTGATTGCCTGTATTTGAAATGAGACTAACTAAATAAGTGAAAAAGTGACTTCCTTAAAATTTCTTCCCTTAATGGTGATTGATGCTTATTGTTATTAGTTGGCTATCTCTACAACCTCTGTCGTCTCTTAGTCGTCACTTAGTGAAGATACGTAGCTCAGGAGGATGTTTTTGGTAATGTTGTGTTCTCTGATTAGGTTAGTTTAACTAAGGAGCTTTCGCTGTCGTTCTAAACATCTTCATCAAGGAGTTGGCTGTGGGAATTCTCTCTCTCTCCTGATGATCTTCTCTATGAGGTACGACTGTATCCACCTGCATTTATGTCAGTCCTCTAGCTGATCTTGTATCTTTAACGTTTTGATTGTGTATTCTAATTTTTCTCTAATAACTGACGGATTTTATGTATATCTACATGCATACTAATTGCAGATTGATTTTAGTGCTCCATTCCCTCAGGTATCCCAAGGGATCTTATTTTTTTCCTTTGTCCAGAAGCTTTACATTGTCCTAATTGAAGTGACACCTGTTGTTGTCCGTGTGAATTATTTTCCTGTACAGAGTTTATATTGTGGCGGTAAGATACAGAAAATCTGTTCCAATGGAATATTATTCTCACAGTAAGAATCATCATATTTGTTAGTGTTAACGTCTGAATACTATTCCCACAATTCAATACGGCATTAGCAACAGAATACCATATATGTATTTGAACATTCTATTTCAGGTGATTTAGTGTTAACCAAAATCACATGCTCAGTGATTGGTTAAAGAACATAAACTATATATATATATATATATATATATATTTAATCTGTTAAATCACTTGAAAATATATCTTGACTTTCGTGTCTTACTTTTTACTGCTCCAATATTACAGAAACTTCTATGTCCAACATTTTTTAAGATAATCATTTGGGAGGTTTAGCTTAAGCTTTGTGCACCTTGTGCTCACTGTTATCTAATTGGTTTGATGGGCGGAGATAACCTGATGTTGTTTATACGCAGAATGAGCTGCACACATCTTTGTAGATAATTTTCAAGTGCCTAGTTTATAGAGATTTGATAGGTTTCAAGATTAATCCTTAACTAACTTAGGTTAGAGGAACACTGAAAACCAAAAGGTAATATACAACTATTTCGCTTTAGTTGGGGACGCTTCATCAACACGTACAAATAGTTCCACCGGGGGTAAAATCAAAGACTACAGGTTAAAAGGCCAGCTCGCTGACCATTCAGGCATCAGGAAGGAATCCAGTCACCCGTAGAGCTAATAATTGCCAAAAGAAAGGGGTGAAATTTATCGGCTATTGATTCCCATCCCAATAGCCGAAGGGTCAACCAGCTCTCTTCGGAATGCAAAAGTTGTTGATTCGATCCCTGGTGGGACTACTATGAAGAGTCCCATACCGGGACAAAACAGCTATTCAGCACTTCCTATTGGTTTTCAGTGATTTTCTAAATGATATCAATCCGCGATCAAACTACATAGATAATATTGTACACCGGGATGTGTTTATCAACAGTTAAACTTTCATCGGTATTATATATATTATATTTTTTTTAGTGATCGTTTATTCATGGCACCCTTTGCACTATTTACTCTGTGTAGAGACTGCATTGTGTCTAGTTTTCAACTCCTTAAAGTGCTCAATGAACTTTTTGTTTATCAAGATCACATAAAACAACTGTTTACCAAGGCTATCAAGTGTTATCAATATTATTCGAAACGGTAAATCCACCCATTGCAGTGACTGGTCTTCCCGCCCTATTCCCGAATATCAGTGGTTTCGTTATTGTTTTATTTGATCATTAAGCCTGTATTCCTCATAGTCTACTGGGTTGTATTAGCAGTCAAAAAAAAATTTGCTTCCTGCTTTAGAATTTATTCAATTCTTTATCATGGTGCTATATACTACTGATTAACTATCATAAGTAGTTAGTTTCCACTACTCATATCACTCATGTAATGGCATAGTGCTTGCAAATAAGTTCACCAAAGTCATCTAGATACCGTAAGGCGATTTTGCTCATTAAGGGCAAAGATTATCAGCGGCGTACTCGATTTTAAGCAGTTCAGAAAGTCGAACCGATTTAAACCATCCAGTAAAGGAAGGAAATTGTGGCGAAATGCTATCTCGAAATGTGCAGCGACTGGTACTGTGGTGGTGTCAACACTGAAAACCAATATTCAAGTCATACTCTATAGCTAACCTTTTACTCACTTACAGTCATGAAACTCCCCAACAACAGCGAATAATACAGTTACCGAAATAAAATCTCAAGGTTTCATTTATCAACAACACTAATATGTCAGAAACTCAAGGCTACCTCAATAATGCAGTTAGGTAGCTACAAAAATCAGATAATCTTCAAATATTCCGCTTTTCTCCTCTGGCTAACCAGGCTGAACAGTATTACAGAATACGTTTTTGGACTTGAATTTGCGTACGGCTGATATAGTTTGCTCCACACAGGAGAATGTGATACGTAAGGTGGCTGTTATAAATGTCTTCTTCAGACACATTTAGAAAGGTGGTCTCTAGAAATTTCTTCTTCGATATCACCTTTGAATTCCAGGTTCACTAATAGAGTTTTCTTAGGCACAGTTTTGACTTTTAGAGACAGAGACTTCGCTTTCATTTTGTGTCTATGAATCTTAGGGGATACTCGTTGTCTAGTAGCGTTTCATGTAATAAATTTAACTGTTTGTCTTTCATGTCTTCTGAACAGATTTTTTAATCCTTGAACTTAATTTACGTATTAGAGTTTGCTTTCGGATCAGTGGGATGAAGCTCTGGAAGTTCATCAGGATAAGATACCGCTTTTGACTACTTCAGGGTTTATTTTTCAGTTTACTTGCTCGTATGGAGCAAACTATATCGACCATACGCAAATTCAAGTCCACAAACGTATTCCGTAACACTGTCCAGCTTGGTTAGCCAGAGTAGAAAAGAAGAAAAGCAGCAACTCCATCCTCTAATCTTCAAGTACAAAACAAATACTGTAAGACGAAACTAACTAACCGAAAACCGACCACAAGAAGTGCCTGAGAATCGGCTGGAATATTTCCAACAAAGTAGGATCCAAAATCTGTCAGTAAGAATCACAAATCAAACATTTCCCATAGACAGTTCAAGGTCTCCACCAATTCTTCACACTGTCAACCTTGACTTCATTCAAACAAAACCATAAGTGTAGAACAGCACATTATCAACACCATCGCATAACTGAAAAGAGAGGCCTTTGAATTAGGCATTACAGAACAATAAGGACTATAATAATAATAATAATTTGCTTTATTCCAAAACAGTACTTGCGATACAGAATTGGATTCTCAGCATTTTACTACAGTATTGCATCCAGTTAGTAAATTAACAATTAATAAAATTCTACATAGATTAAGGAAATCTCAGTTCATTATGACAACAACATATTGACATGTCGGTAGAAAAGCCGAAATTGAACAAACTGTTTGAAGGTGTTGGAAAAGTAGATGCTAGCATATTTACTGGCGTAAGCAGAAGAAAGAAATAAAGCTGCATATAACAGAGAAAAAAAGAGAGAGAAAAGGAAAAGAAAGAAAGAAAACGTTGTACCTATAAATGATATGAGTTGGAAAGACGAGATACAGTTGTTCCGCTAACTATTTAATAAGTTATAGGTTTCACGCCTAATGCTTTCTTTATCGCACAGAACACGAGCTAGGTAGGGTATGGATGAGTTTTTGTACTTACCAGTGCGGGTATATAGTTTTCTATATAGGCTTCTGGTTTTGCCTGATGAGATGCAAGGGGAGAGTTGTGAATGAAGAGGGTAGTGGTGTGAGTTAGATAAAATGGATTTAGCCCATTTTTCACATAAGTCCATGTGCCTGTCAACCAGAATATTAACAAGCTGGTTAAGTGGCACGTTGCTTACCCTGCTAACAACAGAGGTAAAGTCAATATGTGATAATATGTATTCGTAAAGACAAATTTCGTTGAAGCCTTCAAATAACTATCAATATTGTAATTTGGTCGTTCAAGAATGATTTTCCTGACAGTTATTCCGTCACATTCTGTTACTGATAAGCCGTTAATACCTATTGTCAAGGAACTTAACCCTAAGTTCCTATGATTTGCGAAGATGCTCAGAACCGACAATTACTAAGTATGATCCAATACACAAGGACTTGTAATAAAATATATTCTTCAGCAGTTAAATTCGATATATCATACATAATCTATAAACAAATGTTTTACATAAAATGCATTGCAAGTCCCAGTGGCTTAATGGTATACGAGCTCGCCTTGTAACCGGAAGGTCCTGGGTTCGAATCCCAGTGGTTGCGTACTGCTGAAGAGTCCCAAACTAGGACGAAACAGCTGTCCAGTACTCCTAGTTGGTTTTCCAATGGTTCTCTAACTAATGTCAGCTCATGATGAAATCCTGAAAGCATTGTACTTTTATTCGTATTCTTTCGTCTTCTCCCAACTCGTACACGACTGAACCATTCACGCCTTCGAGTTGCCCGCCAATGACGAGCAAGGCCAATGAACCAACGTTCAATGTTCAAGTTCATTTACACCTATAATTAGTTCATTTCTCAATTTTCTGCAGTCAATGATCGCTTTACTCTCTCTCTCTCTCCCTTTTTTCATTCTAGAAAATCCTGTCAGCTGTGAAACAACCATACGACCACTTATACCTAGACGTGAAGAAATCACTTTACTCCCTGGTGAAAGTCTTGTACCAATTACAACTCGCCCGAAAACATCAACTGCCAATGATACATCAAATACATCAGATTCACAGACAACTCCATCAGAAACGCATCCACTTCTACCGAATCATAATGATGATAAACAAATCAATCATCAATTATGCAATAATATAATGTCTAATAAATGTGTACAAAGAAGTAGTGGAAAACAAAATATGAAAGAATGTAACAATTCCTTATTGTCATCTACATCAATGAACAATGAAGAAGCCAACAGTGGAAATAATCTGTTGAAGTCAACTGCCTCGAGGAATTCTACAAAAACTCCAGATACTTCTTCTACTATTAGAGCGAATACTGCTGTCAGTCTGGAATGTGGTCGTGATAACTACTCAATGCTAATGAACACAAATGCTACACAAAATGTACACCAATACCCACCATCACCACAACAATCCCAACATCAAACAGGCATAAGACAATCATGTTTTTCATTTGATGATCAGTTGAATGAAGAGAATTTTTTACCATCCGATAATAGTTTAACACAATTAGAAGAATTACTAAAGTTAAATAATAACAATAATAATAACAGTAATAATTATGAAATAACACCGCCTCGACTTTCATCGACATCTGCGGATAAATATGAAATGAAATTTATGAGTAGATCAGATTCGTTAACATAAATGCTTGTTTAAATAAGCCAGAGGCGGATAACATATCACCATGCATAGATATTTGTGTGAATGAAAGCATGAAGCGATTGTTTTCTATTTCAGTCAAACATTATATGCTACTTGTATAGCTTATAAGTAGACAGATGCATGTACACACAAATTGTTACATCGACATCTAGTCATACAATTTGAGAATACAAGAACACAGGATAGAATGTTTATAAAATATTTTATCATGCATCTGTTACATATGACACGTATTGTTTTCTCTGCCTAGGTAAAGACTACTAACTCACACTTTTACTGTTTCATTAAACCTCATGCTTTTAAAATGACCGCCCTCTTTTAATGTCTTATTTAAACAAAATTTTGATGTCTCTCTTCTTCTCCTTTCTTTGTCTGGTTGATTATTTTCTTCCCCCTGTCTTTTGTCCTTCAAACAGAAAAAAGTATACAGAACATGTGTAAAAAATATTTTTTGTTTGAATTAAATTTACCTCTCTTAGATGATAAATTATTGAATGAATAAAAAAATAATTATTGAACATTGAACAGTGTTAATCAAATGTACACTTTTATACTTCATTTGAAGAAATCAAAATAAAAAGAATTGTTGTATATTATTATTATAATTATTATTATTAAAAGTATTATTATGATGAATGCAATATAATTATTCTAAAAACAAACTGATAACTGTTTCATATTTTAGTAAAACATAATTTAATCAGTCTCCTGTAAGTTAAGGAGAGTAGAAATTGGAAGCAGTATTATTATTATTCCCTGAGTGGAATATAGGGCTTCAAATGCACATCTTCGATTCAGTCTTGTTTCAGATGTCTCAACAAGAGTCCATAAGCTTCCATCCACTCCCTACACGATCTCCTCCATATTAACCTTGGATCCATATACAACTTGTTTCCACAGAGTGTGTTCGATCCATATCCATTTCCTTGGACATATTTGTTGGGTTACAGGTACTCCATTGCCTTGATGACAGAGTTCCCTATTGCTTATGGTGTCTGGCTGGTTGATTATCTGACCTTAATATAATTATGAAGACTGTTGGAAATGCTTTAGGTGATGAGCACGTCAAGTTTCCGAACTACACTGAATGACTTTACCTTAGTGCTGTTCTTTTTGTTGAGTGTGGCAGATTTCCAGACTGATTCTAGATTAATTTAATGCATGTCTTGCTTTTCCAAGCTTGAACTGATTTGACGGCTTCATCTGCTTCGACCCAATGATCCTGCATATTCCCACATCAGCTAAGATATACAGTAAACTTCACAGCAATCCCATTTTATTAACTGGATTAGGCTTCAAGTAGAGTTAACCGTCTAAAACCATATCAAAGCTTTGAGATGCGTTTAAAAAATTGTGTTGTCTTCGCGATCCATATAGCCACCTTCACAGGAGACAGAGAATTTATGAACGTGCATTAAATTAGCCTCAAATGATAGTTACTCCTTCTTATATCTTCGGATCATTTGACGACTGGAAAATCGAGCCTTAGGTCAGCTGAAGGAAGAATGATTTCCTCTGAATAATTGATTCTTCAGAATCTCCACCGTTTTACTACCTTCAAATTCAGTATTTACAAACACCAGTTTCCTCGTCACCACAGAGGTTCTTCCAGGCTACTGATTCACTGTCATGTTTTCTTCCTTATTTATTTCATTATCAATGGTTTTATTACTGCTTTCCCATTTTTCCTCCTTTGTTAATGTTCCTAATGGTTTTTATGGGATAAGTTTTTAGCACCAGAACTTTGGAAAATAATCCACATAGGGGTATCACAAGGTTGTCTTAAAAATATTTGATATAGGGTGACCTGGCGATCTCTATTTATCCATGTGAATACACACCAATACACTGTTAAGTGTATAAATTCACTAACTGTCAGCATATGTTTTGTGAAACATCCTTCTTAGAATTTAATGGGTTTTTTTTGGTTTAACGATCGAAATCCATATGTTGTAAACTGAACTCTGAAAACCAATCTTTGCGTTCAACTGTGTAGCTAACCAAAATGTTACTGACTCACCCACAGTCCCAAAAATGACCCAATGACAACGAAAAGACAGATATTTGTAATAAAATCCACGACACTATTTATCAATAATAGCATAAAATAAAAGCCCAAAATTACTGCATTATTCTCGTTAGGTAACTATCACGGACAAGGTAACTTTATCAGTACCGAGCAAATATTGTAGAACAAAGTTGGTTAACCAGATGTCAAATGTAAAAAGTACCTGAGAATAAAGAAAAATATTCTCTAAAAGGGGAATTGTCAAATCCCCTCTATTACACGATGGGTGTTAGTCAGTTCTTGTTTATTAATTACATCTAGAAGAATATGTAGACTAGTTTCAAAGAGATAAACATACCTCGGTAAGACAGAGATGTCATACACCATACGGAAATAAGATGAGTTTTCAACGCACATATTTCCCGTAAATTGCGCGAGTTCAAGCTGCCATTCTTACCACTGAAAGCAAGCACAAAGTCAGAGTGACGAAAACAAGTGCAGAAGGAGCCATAGGAAGTGGAAATGAATAAGCGCAGAGACCGAAACCGATGTATTGTGGTTTGATCGTTGAAAAACCGTAAGGCCATTTTGCTCAATAAGGGCGAAGATTCTCAGAGGTGTACGTGGTTCCACTCAGCTCAGAGAGTTGAACCAGCTCAAACCATCTGATTTCCAAAGGAGATTTTAGTGAAATATTATTCTAAACTGTTTAGTGACCGTTAACATTGTGGTCTCAACAGTGAAAACCAATATTCGGGTCCCACTGGATAGATAAACAAAACATCTTTGACTCACTCACAGACATAAAACTCCTCAACAACACCAAATAACACAGTTACTCGAAATAAAATCTCCAGCATTTATTTAACGACACCAATAGCACATCAAGAACTCAAAATTACCTCAAAAATCCAGTGAGGCAGCCAGATAGATCAGGCAATCTTCCAGTACTAAACAAATTCTGTAAGAGGAAACTGGTTAACAGGAAACCGACCACGAGAAGTAGCTGAGAATCTAAAAGAATATTTCAAACAAGATGGGATAGAAACACTCTGAGTAAGAATCACACATTAAAAGCTTCCCACAGACAGTCCAAAGTCAGAACAGCATTGACTCACTCGGAAAAAATCGCAGATGTAGAACAACACATTATTAGTATGAACACACAACCACAAAGAGAAGCATAACAATTAGGTTGAACAGGAACAAAAAAAATTAATGAGGATTAAGTCAACGGGACAATGATATGCAGTGTAGGTGGAAAGAGGAAAATAATGACAAAGTTAGTTAGTTAGTTAGCTAGCTAGAACATCAAAATAAGTATCAGTAAAGCATTAAATCTTCTCGGAGAGATTTTCCAAACATCTATTATGTTACATGAATGGAACATTTCAATTTATATGTATCCAAACCAAGTTCACTTAGAATAGTCTGAAAAAATTTAAGCATTAGGCATATAAACATTAAGTAACAAAATGTCAGTCAAAACAGCATCGTTTTCTTTTTTTTCATTTATTCATTTATAACAAGGACTATTCCCATACTGGATTATAATAGAAAAATCTGACGTGAACAACGAGGAATATTCTCTTTTTGACGATTCATTTTCATAATCTGTAGAATCATTATTGTATTAAACAAAAAATCCAACAGGCCAATCAGATATTGGCAAATTTGTTCCAGAAACTGTGTTCATAATATAAGGTGTAATCTAGAAGGGAATGACTATTCGGAAGTTGAGAATTAGGATAGAAGTTGGCATGACGTTATAAATGTGAAAGTGACTCATCAGTATAAATGTCTAAAGTGGACAAAAACTAGTTGAAAAATGATAAGGTCTGAAAATGCAGTGTTATTAACAAACAGTAATATAATGATAATAAAACAGAGATAATAATAATAATAGCAAACTCACATAATAAAATGAAGCAAAATTATAACCACGGTAGGGCGAGTGAATGCATGAAATGCTTTTGAACACAGATGTCGGGTTTCAGATCCCCAATAGCGAATGACTCAGTTATGTATAGATAGCGTATTCGAAGTCCTTTCGTGTGATATTGAGTAACTCTATGTAGAACTGTGAAGCACTTATGTGGGGGTGCTCGAAGTCCAGAGTTAACAAGGTCTTATGGGATAGAGGTACTGATATTCTTCCTTTTTCCTCTGGCTAGCCTGGTTGCGTAGTGTTCAGGACTATGTTTGCAGACCGGCTGATACACTTTACTCTGTTACACTTGAAATATGTGAGTTTTTAATGAAATCTAATTTCATGCCTTTACCATGCATACCAAGAAACGCCAGCTGTAGCGTAAACAGAGGAAGAACATTGTATCACCCTGAATTTTATATTTTTCATATACTACTACATATTGTTTTCTTAAATAACCACTAGTTCTTTCAGTTTTTAAAAAGTTTGGTGACACTAGCTAATCAGAACTAAGTGAACTAAATATTGAAGCATATGAGAGTATGAAGTATCCTCATATCGTGGATTAAAATTCAGTTCGACGATCGACTATTCTCTCAGGTTAATGGTGTTACGATAGGAGGCTTTTTCAGGCCATTCTTTTCACAACTGTTCTTGTCAAGCCTTAAAGATGGTACTTTGATAACAGACGGAACTGTAGATAAGATATAGGAAGGTTAGTCATGTGCCGATGTTTCAGGGTTAGATTACTCGCCAGCCATGCTAGTGTACGAGTTTCGATTCCCCACCAATGCACTCCGGAAAATAAGGAAGGTTAAGCATGAGGCTAGAAAACCCACCCAGTAAAAAGGTAGACTACGTATAATGACACTCCAAAGCATAACGCTGGAATTATTATGTTCTCCTCCTCGAAACTCAAAGGAAAAAAAGGAGAACAAAATCGCAAATCAGATGCGGAAAATGTACTGACAAAATCCAACTCATGCAATTCTAATCTTCATTTCACAATAGAACTCCAGAAAAAAGACACTTTCAGATTTTCAGGTACTTCTCTGGTATAAAGAATCGATGAAACAATAGAAAGTTCTATATTTAGGACGTCTTCATGGGCAGGAAATTACATACAAAACAGTGTTAGAACAGACTAATTACCACTGCTAGCCGTAAAGTCATGAGTAATGCGATCAGCCAGATACTGATTATCTACTTATGGTTTAAATTTCCATTGATATGAAAACTATGTATATATACTCTTTATTGTCAAGGAAAAAGGTTATTTGATGTGTCACTTAAATCTGACTTCGGTGTGTACCCTAGTGTTGGGAACATTTTCAAGCGGTAACTTATCTAGAAGTTTATTCTAGTCAAGATAGACAACAACCAGCATGTCACTAACATTGCTTTACAACAAACTCAGGCATGATCAGTGGGTTACAGCAGGTCGGTTGTGAAAACAAATACCCGCCGCCGATGACATTGGCTAGTGGTCACGCTATATAGTGAATTGACAGAAGTTGGAATTCATGGACTGGTCAATGGATCGGGTTCCACTGGCTTAATGGTCTCGAATTGTAGCCGGAAGGCCCTAGGTTCAAAACCCAGTGGATGAGTGCTGATGAAGAGCCCAAAACTAGGACGAAAAGTCTGTTCAATACTCCTAGGCTTTCTAATAGTTCCCTAGCC